TAGCGAATGTCAAGGGCGACCAACCTTTCCATAGGGAAATTACTTGCTATATTTCTTAAAGGCGATCCATGCCAACACAACCATCTTAAAGTCTTAGGGAATTTTTCGAAACATCTAGTGATTTGTACATAATTGATTTGGAGTAGTCTTAATTTGTACGTCCTTGCAAATGCATCAGCTTCAACAAACTTTGACATACTTGAATTTCTTGCCATGATCTTCCTTGATCATATGCATGTATAGAATGAGGCCTTCGATTTTTTCAGTGCCCTAAAATAAAAGGAATATGCATTAAAATGGAACCAACTAAAGAGAATGGGAAAAAAAAATTAGAGAAGCATGTTACTTACAATTTTTCCCTCAGTATCATAAAAGAATCATTGTGATGCCACAATCTGCTTCGTTCTCCTGGATCCTTAGGCGATTCTTGACGGACAATTTCTCTTCCCATTTCCTGAATCAATTGGTGCATTGCCAACTTAACAGAATTATTGACTGCTAGAAGGCACCTGTCAATTAGATTTTGAATCCCAAATGTTGTGTGGAAATCACATTCAACTAGTATTGTAATTACCCAATCCCTATCCCATCCAACAAAGAAACACGCAATGTGGAGAAACAATTCCTTGTCATGATCATCTTGTAAAGAGTCATAGCTTATTCTAAGTTTTCTAAGGATTTGACCATCAGGAATTTCTTTCAATTTCTTCAATGCACTTTCCCATACATTTGCACTTTTCCAAGATAGAGAAGAACCCAAAACTTCAACAGCTAAGGGAAGCCCTCTGCAGTGACGTACTAATCTTTGTGAGTGCTCCAAGTAATCTTCAATGGGATGGTCTTGTCCAGAGGCATGCCAACTAAAGAGCTCAAGTGATTCTTCAAAATTCAGATGTTTAGCCTGATGCACCTTATGAATGTAACGAGGATTTAACAACCCTTCGTTCCATGTTGTTACAATAATTCTACTTCCAGGACTACACAATTTTCACATTCCAAACATTGCATTAAGTTGATCAAAATGATCCACATCGTCAAGAACAATGACAAGTCTTTTACTGCATTTAGCAGCTGTAATTTTAAGAATTCCTTCATCAACACAACTTATCCTTTCCTCTTTCCCAATATCCAAAAGAAGTTTTTTTTTTTTCAAATTAACTAAAGCTTTTGGTTCTTGTGAACGTTCCTTGATATTTGCAAGAAAGCTACTAGCATCAAAATTTCCTTTGTTCATATTATAAACAACTTTGGCAATGGTAGACTTCCCAATACCACCCATGCCACATATTCCGACTACTTTAAAGTCCACGGCCTCATCCTGTAACCACAAATTGATATTTTCGACTTGTGGATATATCCCAACTAAGAAAGGCGTGACACTCAGGGCTTTGCGATTCACTTTATCTCCGATCACTTTAACAATTTTAATTATAAACATTGCCTCGTGCTTACAAATCACAAAGGAAAGGCAAAAGTAAGTACATTAAATATGTCTTGAATAATTACTCATTTGTGAGAAGCTACCAAAATTTCAATATCTTATTATTATGTGTCATTCTATACGTATTTCCAAAATCTAAAAGCACTAAATTGAATTAATTTTGAATTTTTCCTATGGAATGTAATACATTTTTATCATGATTTTAACAAGTTTAAAGATAAAAAAAAAATCAAACATGTGTTCTTATATTTTTGTTTAACTTTAGACATTATCATCGTGGAAAAAATAGGGGCTAGAATTGTTGGATCAACTAATAACAATAATAAGTGCATAAAATTATGCTTTGCTGAGAAGAATTGTAAATACAATGATATGATGTTGGCATTCTCAAAGTACAATAGATGTTGATGTTCATGTAATGTCAACAGTAGGAATTGAATCTATATTTGAATAGACTTATTTCAAGGAAGTTATCCATCACAATGATTTTCAAGACCATTCCTGCCAAATTTGCTACAATGATGAGTGTTTCCCTCCAGCGCTCCACTATTTTCATCCACTCCTTTTATCTTTCATTGCTTCCTCCTACGAATATGTTCTCGTGTCTAGTAAAGGCTTGCTCAAAATTCCTTGCTTGTCTCTTGACTTCGGATGGATCTATATCTTAGAATATAGGTAAAACTTCAAGCATAGATATCCTTTTGTGGTCGAGAATCTTGACATGTTCATTGAGACACCATTTTGATGAAGCATAAGTTTTTGAGAAAATAATTATTGCAACTTTTGACTGTTCAATATCATTTTGTAGTTCAAACTCAATATTCTTTTCTCGTTCAATTTCATCATCATCTCTAAATGTGTTGAATCCTGCTTGAAGCAAAGCTGTATAGAGGTGATTTTTAATGGTCTTGCGCATGTCTTCACCTCTAAAACTCAAAAACACATCGTAAGCACTTCGGGATATGGAAGAAGAGGCTTGGTCCCCAACAATAGCCATTGAACAAATCTAAGAGATGAATAATCGAACAATCTCTACTTGGTTAATATACCATACTATCTGCAAGAAGGGTCAACAAATACAATTAAATGTCCAATCAATTAAATCCATTATAAAAACTAAGAATATTCATGGAAATGCGTAAATAACTAGTTCATCGATCCATGGTTTTTTAACGAAGCTAGCAATAAATTTTAACCAAATGCTTGAAGATGACTATTTCATTGTTAACTACCTTATTGAAAAAAAAAAAATATTTCATTGCTAACCTTGGAAAAAATGACCCTTATCTTAACATCTATCTAGTCTAGTCTAGGTAATGACACACATGAACATACCCATAATTAACTGGGTGTTTTATTTGCTCGTAGCTCCCATTTGATACTGGGGGACATGTCAAGTATCAGCTTAACTACAAAAAACAGCAACTTTAGTGGCAGGAAAAGTCGTCATTAAAACTCTTAAATTTGTCACAAATTTATTTAGTGGTGAAAAAAAAAATGCCACTAGGTTGTCACGTGTCACTAAAAGTTAATAGTGACAAGCTACCCAAGTTGTCACAAATAATCTAGACCTTTAGTGATGATTCTATATTATCATTGAATCATTCTCAATAGCGACAAAATTTATCACCACTAATAATTTAAACTTTCATCATTAAAACGTATGTTTCCATCACTTAAAAACTATTTTCAGCCCAAAAACATTATTTTAGTGTCGAAATATATTGACACTAATTAGTATCCGTCAATCATTAGTGACACAATTTTTTATTGTCACTAATATGTTTAGTGACAATTTCAAACTTTCGTCCCTAATTAGGATAAAGTTTTATTTCCACTAAATTGTCAGTTGTAGTGACAATGTTTTGATTGTCACTAACAATTTTTGTTTACTTTTAATGGTCAGCTTTATAATTGTTACAAAAGACTTATTCAATGACCATATTTTCTGTTGTCACTATAAAATTTTAAAGTATTTTGTGATAAATTTTATAGCAGTCACTAAAAAACTCTATAGTGAGGACTGTAGTGGTTGTCACTCACATAATAGTTCATAACAACTTTCATAAACCATGTATAAAATTGACCAGTAATTAAAATATCCTAATCTTTCAATATCATTCAAAACAAATCAAAATTCAACCATAGTTTAATTATAAAATCAAAAACTTATCGAATTATCATAAATTTTAAACAATCCAACGAATACTTCAATAAAAAAAGCAATAAAAAAAGTTTTACTCAAGCAACAAAATAAAAAATTAACAATAAATTGTTGGTCTTTGTTCCTTTCATAACCATGAGAAGATCTAAAGCAAACTTCATTCTGGCAAAAAAATGTACTCCGTGCTTTTGGATTAATTCTAATCCTTTGAACACGGTCTTCTATTCTCATAAAGACGTTGTAGAGATAACCATCCTGGCAAAAATTAAATATCATAATAGTTGTCATAGCTCTTTAATTTTAAATCACATAAAATATTAAAAGCTTGGGAAAAAATGTCATCATAAAAATATAAATTTCTATTCACTTTATGCAACACAAGAAACAAAACTTCAACACTTATTATCAAAGGTTTAGATTGAGTGATAACCAACCAAATGGTCCTTATAATTTTTGATAATAATGTATTGCACTTTGCACTCTTAAAAATGTATTGTAGCACTTTTAAGATTGTTAAGGGAGGTTTAACACAAAAGACTATAGATGACTAACATTAAAGAATACATAATTTCTAATATATATGTCATGAGACTCATTACATCAACTACTTCCTATTGTCAACAAATACAATAGTACTTATATGATTAAAAGAAAAAAGAATAAATCAGAAAAAAGTATGAATCCTATGAAAAAAGACCACCATGTGCTTGACAAACATAAATGTTTTGCTCAAAATGATTGCATCAACTAAATAAAAGCTAATCTTCCAAATATAAAAATGAGCTGAATATCTAATCAATAATAGTTAAGTCAAACTTAAAGTCAAAAAATTCAACTATCATATTATTGTCTTATCATCAAATCTTAACAACCATGACAAACTAATTTAATGTATCTATGTTGTCATTGAGTGTCAAGTCAATCACAATATCAATCTCTAATTAATATATCAAAACACCATAATATCAACAAGTATACTGCACAATTTCTTTTATAAAGCCCCAGAGTCATTTCATAATTTCAAGTAGAATCAAGAATTAAGAACTTGTTCATAAGTTGTAATACTCCAAATGGAATTATTGTGCACCCTTAAATTTATCCTACAAAAGTAAAAATGAGAACACTTACCCAAATTGTAATTGCCCTGGTTGAGCCCCATATTGCTTCTATCTATCATGCAATAAAATAAAGTTTATGACACCTTAAAAAACAAAAGGAAAAAAAATCAAAATTAAGCTCTCGTTAATCAATTATTCCACCTACCATGAAAAAGGGTCAGGTGCAGGGGTAGACACTTGCCTCTCATCTTGCATCTGCTTTATCAATGCTTGCAAAATCTCATTTGTCGCATTTTGAGTTGCTTCTTTCATCTGCTCCATCAGTGCTTGCAAAATCTCATTTTGTTGCCTTTTGAGTAGCCTTAATCACTTCCATGTCCTTTTGTTGAGCACTAAGTTTTTCTTCCAACTCATTGGCCATTTTGTTAGCTGCCTCCAACTTCAATTTATTGTGGTGCTTAGATAAGGATCGGCTAGGCTTCGGACCATGCCCACGACCACGTATGTACCCTGACTTATGTCCAAGAACCTCTGAACAAATTTCCTCCTCACAAACTGGTGCTTCATTCTCTTCTATGGGCTGCGATTGAAGCTCCACCATTTGCTCCTAAAATGGCAAGACATATAAATTTTAAATTACATTAGTTTGATTAGTATGATGATAAATGAAAATTTTAACCAAATTGATAACTTACATAGTTATGATGTACATAGTCATTCACCCAAAAGTGTTTCTTATTACTATAGTGAGTTATCTTATATAACTCAATTGGCCCAAGCACTTCACCAGTTTGAGCAGTCTACATCATTTCAAATATGTGAATTAGTTTTTAAAGCAAATCACTATTAATATGATACACCCTATAACTAAGAATTATGTTGTTACCATTTCAACACCCATCCGGGCAAAAGACTTTGTCCCAGTTACATGAGGAGTGTTTTGCATTGCTCGATCCCTCGCATTTTGAGCACTCCTTTTCTACATAAAATATAACAAGTATCTTACATTAGAAATATTTTAAACGAATAAAGGTAAAATTGATTTTTTTTAGTATCTATAGTTAGTTCAAAAACCTTAAATTCATCAGAGGAAAAAGTAAGAACAAAGATAATTCCAATCTTCCTGTGGCACGCCTGGTGGTGGATGTTGAATTGCTACTTCTGTCGTTAGATGTGGCAGGAAGTAGTTCTTGTGTAGCTTATGGCGATGATTTCAATATTGTGTGTTCATTTGGGCAAATTTTATATCTTTAACCTGTTCATCCTGGAGATTGAACGATTCCTACAAAAAATAGTGAATTGTTTACATTATTAACAACGAAGGCACCCTGAGAAATAAAGGTAACAACTATTGAATTACAAAATAAAAAATAAGTAACTTTTGTTTCCAATTCCTCCTCTTATTTCCTTGTTTATTTTCTTATACTTGCAACATTTCCAACCTCTATTCAGCTCAATATACTCCTTTAGACTAAACAACTATCATATCTTATGCTCAATGACTTTTTTGGTTAACATGCAATTCTCATGTAGAATTTGTTACATTTACCCTTTGTCTCATTACATTAAAATACATAGTCTAGTTGAAATGTTTGAGTACTTGGAAAAGCACTTACCTTGGCCATTTGGAGTAAACTCTCTCGATCAGCTTTGTCAATCTTTGCCCATTTTGTCACTTGAATAGGTGCATGCTTCCGAACAATACATCCCAACTCTTTTATAAGTGGTTGGCATTCCAATCCTACTATTTGCCTAAGCTCTTCTGGCATCTCAATATTAAGCTTCTCACCGACTTGCTTTTTTTTGGCAAGAGCAATATTTCGGGTTGGTCCCCGTTTCCTCCTCGTTGAGGATGACTCTGAAGATATAGTGTAAACAATGTTGGTACATGATTTTGTTAAGAACCTAATTTTTTGATAAAACTAAAACGTAATTGCAATTCAATAAAAAATTGAAAATGCAGCTTGTATAAGTCAATATTTTGAACAATATTTAACATAATTCCATTAAAAAAACAAACCAACAATATGTTCAACATGTCCCTTTGGCAAAGGAACAATATGCACACTCTTGGAACCATGATACTCTTGTGCAAGTGGCGATGTACCACCACTAGCACCAGCCTGTGTTTGTTTATCAGATGGTAATGAAACCGGAAGCCATAATGATAATTGTCCTCCACCATGCCTAGCAGCTCCTCGTTTCCCCAATCTGGCCATCTGTGTGCACTAAAGCAACAAAATAATACAACAAATGAATATCAATTGCATAAATACAAATGATTATGCACATCTATGTGTGTATATAATGGAAATACAAGTATTGCAACAATGTAAAATTTTGCTAGCATAAAATGAATTACACTGAAACCTTACCTTTATTCAGATTCACATTCGTCATTAATGAATGTATCATCTATGTCAATATCATCACTATAGGAATCTTCCTTGATATCACTGTCATTAATAAAGTTGTCATCTTCTTCATCTAAATTTTCCATTGGTTGGTCACGCAATATATTATCTACATCAGTACATCCTAATGGGATCATATCATCTCTTTTTAATGATGGCATTTCATCAATTTCCATTGAATCAAAAACCTCATCAGACACATGTTCTTGGTAAGGCTCCTCACCAGAAATCAATTGTTCTTCAAACTATTCAGGAACATCAAAAGACCCACGAGGTTGTGTTCTCTCTACAATGTGCCAAATTTTTCCTAACTTCAAATCTTCAATATAAAAAACTTGTTTTACTTGAGAGGCAAGCACAAATGGTTGGTCCTTATACCAAGTTCATGCCATGTATAATGGATCGTGTCATATTTTGTCACTCAACATACGAGATGACAAATTTGGATTAATTTATGATCATTTAGTACAACTGCACAATTGATTATCCACCTGATAAGCATATTTGATTTAGACCAAACCAATTAGAATACAAATCCAATTTAAAAATCTGATTCCGTTACCCGGTGTTTTTCATTTTCAATGTCTATATATGTAATCTTTAAAAATTGAAATTTAGTTAGATCAAAATTATTTAATTAATAGCATATTCATATTCAAATTCAATTTAATCAATTATAATGGGTTCAAATTATTTGACCAAACTAGGTTTCGATATATCAAAATTTTAATCTATCGTATCCATTATATATGATTCGTATTCGAATTCAACTAGTCTAAAATAACTTCAATCTATATTCAATTCACTAAATGTGAATTCATATACATATTTGTATTCAGGTCAAATATGGATCTCAATTCGATTTATTTATAAGCCTAATTTATTTGCATCCTTAGTTTAAGTACACGAAGGGTCAAGGTCCATATAATAATGTTGATGATGCCAGAAATTGTCCTCCAAGCGTCAAAAAGGGATAGTGGATGTGAGTTGATTTAAGTTTTGAACTGGTGGTGTTAAGAGTTTTCAATTCACCGGTTTTGGTTAAAATCAACTGATTATTTGATTTTTCAACAGTTTGATTATATCAACGATCTTTTTAGTGATCCATACCGTTGAGGACCCAGTTCACCAATTCGACCTGGCGGCCCGATTTGATTCTGATATCAATGATTGACATTGTTATAAGTGACAAACTTAAAATTTGTCACTAATACCTCATAGTTCATAAATATCAGTGAGAAAAAAATTATTGACAAAGGTATATTTAGCACTAGTACCTCATTGGTTTATGCAACAAATGACGTGGTTAGATTGTCACAAAATAATTGGTGTTAGATTGATTATTTAGTGACGACATTAAAAACTTGTTGGTAAAATGCTGCCCTCCAACACATTTTAGCACCAAAAAAATATCGCCTGAAAATTAATGATAAAATTATAAGTGATAAGTTCGAATTCATCACTAATAGCACCTTGATTCATACCAAATAGTGACTCATGGTTAAGTCATCACTAAATAGTTGGGCCTAGATTGTTTATTTAGCGACAATGTTAAAATAATTGCCACTTAAATCCTTCCCTCCAACATATATTTGCGCCAAAAAATTCCCGCCCCCAAATTAGTGATCAAATTATTAACAACAATTTAAATTTTGTCACTAATACCACTTTGGTTCATACAAATAGTGACTAGTGGATAAGTCGTGACTAAAGAGTTATCATTTGATTTATTATTTAGTGACGACATTAAATTAATTGCCACTAAAGTACTTCCCTCCATTTTTTTTGGCGCCAAATATCTCACCCCTCAAATATTAGTGACAAAGCTAATGTTGTCAACAGTAACACACTATTTTATGAAATAAGTGACAATTTTTTTAGCTTGTTACTAAATATTTTGGATTAGTAGCCAATATTTATTTTCGCCACTAAACAATAAATTTTAGTGACGATATAAGTTTCGTCACTAATACTTTCGCCACTAATAAGCTTATTTCTTGTAGTATAGGATCATGTCTTCTTAGGCTTATTTTGGATGTATAATGCAATTTCGATAATGATATTCCATTTTAGTTGAAAAATGCAATGAGATGTTTGGTGTCTCTGATGCCAATGAGTATTGAATAGTCTTCTCGTTAACCCAAATTTTCTATTAATAGAGCTTTAACGTCTGCGCATAGAATCGTTTTTTTTCGCTTCCATTCTATACTTACCATATCATGGGCAGTTAGATCAGAATCTGTGTGATGGTTCAAGAGTGGTTTCAAATATAGTGCAGCCGGGGTGTTTCAAAGGAAAGAAAACAGACGCCAATGAAAAAAGTCTCCAATATTGGATTTATCACTTTCCTAGAAGATTTAACTTCATATAGACTCAATAGATTTGAAAAAGATACGCATTAACAGAGAGCCCGTAAAAAATAAGGGTAAAACAGATTGATCTACCAGGACAACATGAGTCAACGCAAAAGGTGAAAGAAGAAACAGTTTTATATGTAGTTTTATGACCAGTTTAAGAATGAAAAACAGAACTCAGAAAATCTGAGGAATATACTAAATGCCTGCTGAAATTCAAACTCCATAGAATTGTTCCAAAGATGAAAATATTTACCTGTGCATGCCCAATACAGGCATGTTATCACTTCCTTTAAAGACTAGCTTTCATCTAGACTCACAATAGATTTGTAAGGGTACGCGTAAGCAGAAACAGAGAGTCGGCCCCTGAAAGAAAATGTTAACTAGACTAGACTAATCCACCTTGGGTCAACCAAACAAGAAAGAACAAGTAAACTCAGAAACAGTTTTGTATGGAGTTTTACAAATTTATAGTGAAAAACAGCACTCACAACATCTGATCAAAACATACTAAAAGCCTGCAAATTCAAATTCCCTAAAATTGTTCCAAAGGTGAAAAAGTTTACCTGTTTACGCAGATCAAAGTATTGCTATTGAAAGCGAATAGTGGGCAGAGAGAAAGAGAGAGAGAGAAGTCGTCTCAAAAATCCAAAGGACAAAACAAGGAGAAAATGAAATGAAGATTGGTGGGAGCTTGTAGATGAAGCATCCACACGGTGCCTGGTTGTATTAAGTCAACTTTGGTAGGCTGCTAGATGCTTTCACCGACTGCATGCCAGACAAGATTTGTCTGTGTTAGAACTTTTGCATCGAAAAGCAAGGATAAATTTTAATAAATATCAAAATTTAGTGTAAATTTAAAAGTTATAATAAAGTTATATTATTAGATCAGTCATGAAGAATCCCTTTTTGCGCCGAAAGTATGCCAATTGGGAGTGCAAAGCTTGCACCAAATTTAGTCTCACATTTGTATTTAACAAAGTCATATTTTTCGAATTTATCAATTGTTGTAAAAGTCAAGTCAAGAGTGCTACAATACAATAAAATAGAGAAGGGAAAAGAAGATTTTAACGATAGAGACGTTTAATCATTATCCTTAAAAATAGAATTCGCTTATACGAGTATGAGATCCAGTGCAACAGATTATGACGTCCTACTCTCCAAGATTCAACTATTGTTTTGTTACAAACGTGTACTTACAAATATAGAGGTACATCAAATAACTGTTGATCGTTCCCAAATAGAATCACATTTCTTGATCGTTCCCACAATGTGGTGATTTACACATTCACTATCTCCTCTCATATACCTTACACAAAAGAATTTTTTAATATGGATTGATAAGTAAAGATGAGTATATCACTTCTGTATTTGTACATTATCTAAGCATATTCTAGCTTCTGTCAAAACAACCTTCATTAGATTAACATGAGGACGAGTAGATTGTGTTGCTATAGTGTGGGCAACAATATTAACTTCTCTTTGAATGGATACAAACTATATTAAAGAAATCTGTTAAGTATTCCAACGAGAATAATTTATATGTACAGTTATAAGTAATCAATGAATTTATAATGCTTCGTTTTTCCTCCTTGTTGCAAACTTTTATGAATATACACATTAGCATTGCACGAGAAATTTTTTGTTGAAATATTTGATAAAATACATAAAAAAAAATTTAATTATGTAGTTATACTAGATATTATCTCATATTTATCATACTCAAATTGTTTGTATTCTCTTCATAACTATAAACATCAAATAAACTCATTTTCTATAATTCATTCATTCAAGCTATCCAGTAGTAAGGTTTATAGATTTTTTTTTTCTAGATTTTTTTTGTCATTCTTGTTTTTACTTTGTGCATCAACAATTTTTTATCAAATTATTTTGATTGTGAATGAAGATATAGGATAAATATAGTCATTTTTAGGCATTAGAGATGCTATTGTATCAATTGAGTTGTCAATGCGCATTAATATTGAGGTTTTGAGAAAAAAGAATAATGTTATTTTTATATATCATGCTAAGCATAACATGACCGTTCAATTTTTTTGTAAAGATAGAGAGATTTGCATGATATGTTAGAGATTAGTTTGTTATTTAAATACAAAGAGATATAATGATAATTTATATATTTAAATACAAAAGGATATGTTAGCCTTTATAGTTTTTTAGAAGGGTAAAATAATGAATCAAAATTTTTTCATGTTAATGTATTTTTATTAGCAATATATACATACATACACACACACACACACACACACACACACATATATATAAATAAACCCTAAATCAAGAATAATGGAGCTTGATAGAATATCAAAACACAAACAAACAAACAAAATACACACAACACACATGAAATAAAACAAAAAATTAAACTGAAAAGTAATACTAACATGTATCTCAGTAAAAAAAATTCATATTGAAAAAGTTCTTTTGTGGGGG